TGCCTGGAAGACCCACGCCAGCCATTGTATGCCAGCCATGAAAGCCTTTGACAATATATCTAAAATGATGTTTGAGTGATTGCATGATCAGAATGTTCCTAAAAGCTTTTATCTATCCACAATAAAAAGTTGCCTCTAATTATGAAGATTAAAGGATTTTTAGGGTAGAAAATTCATCTGGACAACATCTCCTTCACTCCATCCTCACTTCAATCTAACTTATGTGGTTTACACATAGCAAGCCAGGCACTTGAGTTGGGTGGCTATATAAATGTCCTAAATAAATACTGAGGAAGGAAAGCATTGGGAAAGTATTACAACCCTCTATGCAACAGTCTGGAAAAGGAACGTGCTGTTCTATCAGTGGCAATAAGATTTTATTTTGGTTAGAAAACATTAGGTTTTCTGAAGCTGTTTTATTTCATGTCCACATTTCCATTGCCCAAACTTCACTCTTTTGGGGGATTCTATTCTTTTAGATATATGTTGCTTTAGAGTAGGATCTGATCCATAACCACTCAAAGAAATTCAATGGGTTTTTAAAGGTAAAAGTCTCTTTCAGTTGGAGCTCTACTCTGATGACTTAATGGACACACCCCAAAGTGATTTTTTTGTGGGATTTATTACTATTACTACTGCTGCTGCTACTTTTCAATCCAGCTGACAATGCTGGTCTTCTCTGGAGATTACTCATCTGAGTATTAACCAGGACTAACTCTAAATCCAGACAATGTTGGCCAGGTTATTCAACAGATTTTTAGATCACTACAGCTCATTTATTCAGATACATAACATTGGACTAGGAACTTTATTTATTCATTTAAAACTGTTCTATATCCCACTTCCTCATAAATTCTGGAGTGGTGTACAATATAAACAACCCTTGGTTTTAAAAGGGTGAATGAAGATTATGTGCGTGTCTGTGTGTGTGTCTGCGCGTGCACGCGCTATAAAAGGGCAAATTGCAAAGGCAGGTTGTCAAAATCAAAAAAGGTCTTTGTGCAAAGATGCCTTAAACTGGTGCTTCAAAGATGATAAATTATGTGGCTTGCATTCCACATCAAGCATTCCAAGGCTGAGGCACCAATAGGGAGAATCTCTCTTTTCTGCATTGCTGTAACATCAGAACTGGCTCTTTGAAAAAGCAAAGTGAGACCTTGTCTTCAGGCAGCAGATCAGGTGGTGGCAACTGATGATAGATCAGAGACAGGACATCCCCCAGGTCATAATCCTGCCATGGAACAAA